GAAAAAAAAATGCCAGCCGATCCTTATCCAAAATTTTCCCTTTTTAAGCCCCTTAAATTTAACACAAATTGACATTAAGTTCACTAATAATATTTGCTCACAAGTTAGTCCCTAACTCACTTATTTATTCTAGAAATTTTTGGGGTATTACATCCACCCCTCCTAAAAAAGGAGTTTTGTCCCCAAAACTCAAATTGGGGATCATCTAGAGTAGTTAATGGCTTCATGCAAGCCAAGGCAAAACAAATGCCTCACCAACTTCCTATAAACAGAATATGGCCTATTACACTTCCGCTGTGTCACTCTGATATCAAACCACAACTAATCTTAAAAGTAGAACATTAACTACTTAACAAGATTTACCATGAAATAAGCTACAAGAGGCTGGGGTGATATGGGAAGCACAAAGAATAAAAATAAATCCTGCCAAAGCCACAAAAGAACAATTGTGGGGTTACGCTATGAACCCAACACAAGACGAGTTGGCAAAGAATGGCATGGATTTAAAGACGAGTACAACAAAACTTTGAACTCTATCAAAGATAGATAAGCATCCAATAGATATATGGATCATGAATGAATATACAAGTGCATGGATGCCTTATAAATTCTGCCACAAAACAAGGTTAACCAGAACCAAGATCATGTTTAACAAAGCAACTGGAATCAAGAGGCAGATTTTAGCAATTAACAAGAGTTAAAAGCTAGGACCATCAAATGACGTGAAATTTCCAAAATAGCTTCAGAATGAAATCAGTGGAAAATATGAATGCTTGGAAGAATACTGGAACATAAAAGTGCAAGGTAGAATGCCTCAAAAATTTTCAACAACAAAACGACATTCACCAAAACAGCATTCACCAAAACAGCATTCACCAAGAATCAAGATCAAATTTAACCAAGCAGTCAAAATTGAGAGACAAGAGTTAACCATGAAACAAGCAATAGAATTCCAAAAATTAAGCCCACAAAAGAGATTTCAATAATGACAATGAGAACAACGATTCAAGAGCAGATATAATCAGGATGTCAAGATCTAACACCCCAAGTAACACAAATTAATTAATAGAATACTCAACAGTGGGGATCAAGATACTTAGAAGATTACTGTCTTCTAATTAAAAGGGCAAACAAAATCAAAACAGCTAGATAAAAGAACCATTTCTCTTGGAACAAAACTCTAGGGCATTAGGTATCTCAAAGACTACCCCTTCACCTCGTAGCCCATGGAGGCTAAGCAGATTTACAATCAAGTCATCCTAGGCATCCTAGAGTCAAGTCAAAGCTAAGACATCAAGGATACAGAGATTAACACTTGCAAGAGACAGGAATCAGGATGCCTCATATAAGTATTTTCTGATAATTGTCACCCCTCCTAAGAGGTGTCTATATGAACAAAAATCAAAATCAAGAAGATCAACAAGTATACTAAAACAAGAACTAGCAGAATATGCAGGATTTGAGTAAGAGCAATATATAGAATTTGAGCAAGAACTAGTGTCAGAACAAGAATGGTTTTCAAGGACAATTCAAACTAGATTCCAAAAACCAAATATCAATTGATTTTCAAGAATAGATTCCAAGAACAATATAAGAATTAATTTCAGACAAGTATCGAGATAATGAGGATTTCAATAATCATTATCCATTTTTGGATTTCAGTTTCAAGAACAAGTACAAAGCAATTTCAAGAAAGATTCAAGATGGATTTCAAGAGTTTCAAGCAGTTTCAACAGACATCAAGAATGTAGAGATTAGCAACAACAGAGAGTTTAACTTTATGACAACTTGTCAATCTTCACAAAAACATGGCAATTTTAATTGAATGATCACTATTTTTTATTAACCAATATAGAAAAATGAGCCACATGAAAAGACCATGAAGCTCCAAAAGGAAAAAGTGAAATTTCACTATAAGACTTTCAGAAAGATAATGAGCAGCGAAATTACCAAGTTATCCAGCTCCTATAACACATCTAAAAAAAACACACAACATTTGCTAAAATAGCCTTGAATCTGTTACAAAGTAGAGGGTTGCCTATCTTCCATTGGTCATGTGACCAACAAAATAAATTTCTCAACCATGTTGTAGAGACCAGCAGGATCAATAACAAAAGATCTCTGTAATTCCCCAGATTTTACAATTGTGGCAAAAGAGCATACAAAAATTCTATTCAAATAACAAGTCTAAACAAGTGCAGACTGTCAGAAAATGACCAAGTTTCAAAACAAGGTCTTAAGAACATGGCGGACAAGATTAATTTCATGAATCTACACAGGGTATGAAGGTAGGGAACAAGAATAATCAGATTACCATCCCATCAAAATGGATTAGAAAATTCAGATAACATGAATCAGAATCGTCCCTTATATAACCCCATCACTCATCTCACCACGATTTTAAAATCCACTGGCCAACCAAGTTCTAAACAAATCCTAGGTATTCAATTAAACCTAGGTATTTAATTAAATCTAAGCTCTAATACCACTAAATCTGCTCTGATGCCACTCAATCTAGAGGTGCTTAATTTAATCCAAAGCTCTTAATTTAAACGTAAGCTCTGATACCACTAAATTTTTCACGCCCTAGAACCCAAATCCAAGGCGTGACAAACGTCGTACACTCGTGAGAGGATCCCACAAATGCACAAGGCTCGGAACTTATCCAATTCACATCTGACAATCCAATAACTTAAATCAAATAATTCAATTTGATTTCTATATCCAAAATGACTTAAATCCAAGTAATTGATCTAATGATCGAAATCTGTTTTGATCTCATAAATTCAAGGTAAAATCTATCTTACAACAGCATGATTTATTTCTAAAATCTATATCAATCTTGAAATGGCTAGCCTTCTAACTCGTCACTTCCCGTGGTTTCTCCGTCCTCGATTTCACTTCCTGAAATGGTGAACAAGGAAAAACTATGAGATAAACTCAATAAGTAAAATATAGAGTGCCCTTTATTAAATTTATAGCATGCCAACAAGTATAATCATGAAAAACGGATACAGTACGGGAATGAAATAGACGTCTCCTCTATAGGTCATGACCAGTGTTATAAACCTCCCACTGGCAGGCTACACTATTTACTGGTGTATAATCCCCACTAGCAGGGTCACTCGTACGAATCGGCTCTATCAATAACATGTCGACATGTGCTAACATTTAACCCCCACTAGCAGGGTCACTAATAACATGACCACATCGGAGACAAAACAGGCAGAAGTTAACAGAAAAATCATAATTCATCAATCACTTTCAAATCATTAGGACAATAAATTAAATTTCAAGTAAGCATGCTCAATTTAATGAAAAACATAAAAATTCCATTTCAAACGATCATACTTATGTAAAACGGGTTTAGTCTCGCCACCACTTCAAAAACAAATCAAAACATGCTTTTAAAAACTGTGTGGGCATTACCATAAATTTACTTACCTTAAATCGCATAAAACCGAAGACTTGATCTCAGTGCTAAACTGACAGAACAATCAGGAACATAATCAAAATATTCCAAAATTAATACTGCACTACCACAAATTCAAAGTGAAAACTTCATTAGGATCATGCCTAATCACGATACTATTTCAATTAGTCTCCATATGACCGGACATCTCCACATTTATTCTTATATTACAAACTAAACATTTAAATCCCTGTTAATTGTTGGCCATCTGTGCGTGAACAGTGCCATAAAGAGTAACTACACTTCCAAAAATTGGCAAAACAATGGCTAATTCACGGGATTTTTCTCTCCAAAAATCACAGCAATCAATTAACACTCAATCACATAAATC